TTGTCTCTGTCTTCTGCTCCCAAATCATACGCCAGAAATCAACAATGGACTGAGGGACTGGGCCTTGAGATGCAATGTAGGCGTTTTCCTTTTTATAGCCCTGGGAAAAAAGAAAAGAAAAAAAGAGAGAAGAATTAATTTTTTACTGGGATATTAAAGACTTAAACTCTTAATGACCACTTAAGCTAAATCACTATCACTTAGCAGTTATAATTTTTTCATTAAAAAAATTAACATCTTACATCAATGTAGTTTGCATTGATATAATCTGAGCCGGGGACGTTTGGATCTTCTGTTAACTTGACACGAGAATGATCATCTAAAAACAACAAGAACAATAATAATGATAAAAATAATAATAATAGTGCTTACAAGCTAATATGTTGGTGTATCTGTTCTTTTTTCTAGCATTGTCAGGGTGCCGTGCAGCATCTCTAGTTGGATGATGTTGGGGCTCAACAGTCTAACAAAAAGAGAGAGAGAGAGAGAGGGGGGGAGGGAGAGAGGAGAGGAACAAACAATAGCAATGATTGAGTAACTGGGCTAGCTCCCTATGACAAATTTTGCCTGATGAAAATTCTACTTAAATATATATAACTGTATTTCATCATGACAGTAATGGAAAGTTTGGAATGGAAGGTTTTCTTACCGGATATTCTACTGAGAAAAGGTAATCATCATCTGCGTGCATATTGGCAATGTGGGCTGGGAAATCATCAATAGAGATATATCCTTTCTCAGCAGGTAGAGAAGAGAAGAGAGAGAGAGAGAGAGAGAGAGAGAGAGAGAGAGAGAGAGTCAAAATTAATTAGCTATAGAAAATTTTATATTTAAGAAATAACTGTTATACATAAGGAAACAGAAAGAGAGAGAGAAAAACCAACAATAAAATGTGACCATAATTGACAAAAGGGCCCTTATGGCGGATTTTAAAATTGATAGTTATAATGGAAAATATCAACCTGTGAGTGCTTTGTTAGACAATCATTGTTTCTAAAAGTTTCATGGTAACTTTTTGCATCCTGTGGAGTAATTTTATGATAACTGGGGCTCAGGAAGTTGGATTCATTAGGCTAGAAAGACAAATTTCACTACCCGCCATAAGGTACCTTTTGTCAATTATGGTCACAAATGTTACAAATATACATACACTGCAAATAATGCTACAATATAACATTTTAAAGTCTAACAATAAAGCGTGGTTATTATAAAACACTAATATCAGCACCATAAAATGCCTTGATGACACACATACTGTGAATGTTACAATGTACATGTACACACTACATACCATCAGGTAATTCTGTTTCACCATCAGGTAGTTCTGTTTCACCATCAGGTAGTTCTGTTTCACCACGACCTTTCCTAAATAGTAATATTAAAAATAATAACAAAACAAACAAAAACAATAATTTTATTACATACATAATTCAAATTAAACTATAATTTGTCCTAAAAAATTATTACCACTAAAGTTGCTTGCTTAGTCTATAGTGTTCATTGCTGTAGTTTTGATTGCATTCTTCATAGTCTAATTTAACTGTGAGGGTGTTTGGGTATGGCTGCAAATGCTAAGTGCTAGCGTTAAAAGCCCAATGCCATTTTTGGCAAAGAAGCCACGCCTCTATTAATAATTGGCAATTTTACATGCAATCTTAGCTGCTGTATTTCTTAATGTACAATTTTTTGTTTCCTGTCTTATACATGATCCTTTAAGTAAATTAATTTATCAAGACAACAGTATCTGTGCCATCATAATAGGTGTTAGTTTTTATACCTCAGTTGGTACAGAACATGCACTATTAAAAGCAATGAATCATGGTCATTATCTCTTTCATGCTGCATGATAAAAATAAAGCCCATGATTCATTGCTTTTAATAGTGCATGAATGCAAGAGCTACTGCCGTGAATCCAAACACTGTAGGTGTCTCGTTGGCTGTTTACCATATTTCACTTGGTCTATTAAAACTGTTACTTGCATATTATACAGATTGTGGTGAGGGCACGCACTTTAGTGCTCTCGTTCATTCATTGATTTTATTCAGAAGCAACTCTTTCTTTCAGGTTTTGTGGTTTTAGAAGGAGTTACAACTTTTCCATACGGTAGAAAAGTTACTTTCTCCAGCTTTATCAAGCATAGATGGCAGTGCAAGGCACCAAAAGCTAAAATCTTGCCAAATTTAACTTGACTGTGATAACAAAAATAAAAATTATTAAAATATTTGCATTACTCACTTGGAAAAAATTTCATTCATAGCAGCTAAAGGGAAGAAAAAGTAAAATTTACATCATTATTTTACTCTAATTGGAATTATATATTACATGCAACTTAGAAATAAAACTAACCTCTCATGGCATCCTTCTCTTCCTTCTCAGAAAATAATTTCACTTGACTATGGTAGCAAAAATTATAAATGATGTTAAAATTATAGCACTAGCTTACTTGGAAAGAACCTGTTTTCCTTTGTTTATATTAGCTAGAGACAAAGAAAAAAAGTACAGTTCATATAATGCAATACTATTCTTAACCTTTCATGGCTTCACTCTCTTCCCTTTTCATTAGTAACTGTACACTAGTTGATGATATCTGATCTTGCAAATGCTCCATCTCTCTCTTATTCTCTGCTAATGCTGCATTCTGATCCTGTAAATCTATTGTAGGATCTATAGTACACTGATACATACAATATGATTCAATACCAGATTTATTTGCTGTCAAAAATAATATCAATTCTTCTATCTCCATCCTCATTCCTCTTCTAATCCTGCTCAATGCTATTACACAGTTTAGTTATAATAATTTTTTTTACTACTCTAACCTGAGCCAGTATTAGTTAACAGTGACATATGCTGAATGCAGTGTTTTTCTTTCAATTCTATTACATAACTTGATGACCTCAATTTTTTGTTTGATACTAACTTTTTAGTTTCTCTTCTAATCTCTTGTTTGTCTCTTTTTCTTTCTTTAGTTGTGAAGTAACAATAGCAAAACTTGTATCAATTGACTGTAGACCAGAATCAGGTGCTGTAAGTTGCTTCTTTTTCTTCTCTATCCTAACTGGTTTTTCCTGTTAAAAATCTGTCAATACTATAGCATACACACAATTAAGTTACTTGTAAGTCATAAGGATCTTCACTTATGTTCCCTTGATTGGCTTTAATAAAATCTATATCTTCTTCCATTACTTGCTCCCTTTCCTTAATAATACAATTAGAAATAGTATTGATACATAGCATGATTCACATACTTCTAATTTTTGTTTTTTCCATATTAAACAACATCCAATGGTAACTTTCTTTATACCATTCTTTATTAATACATCAAGATTTTCAATTAATTTTGTGATAAAAGCTCCAATGAGAGAGTGAGGGAAGGAGCAAGTGATCAGAATGGAGTATCCAGTATCAATGAACTTGATCTTAACAAATCTACCAGATGTCTTAGAAAGAATGTCAGTGATATCTTTCAATTTCTTCTCATCAGGCCTCCAGTCAAATACATAGGTAGCTGTTTCACACT